TGTGTGTGTTGAGCATTATTAGTTTACTATACAACAGACAATGGCTAGGCACCAATGGGGAATCTATGACCTTCCAAAGTTTGGTTGATAGTTATGAGCCTTCAAGACATTGTGGACTGTTAGTGATGACTTAGATCAGGGGTCCCCAATCCCTGGGCCGTGACCCACTATCAGTGAACAATGGGCAAGCATACAAAACTCCACTCGTGCGCGCAGTCGGCACTTGTGCTCGCACACAAAGCTCCACTCACACAAATGGAGCTTTGTGCATGAGCACAAGAGCCCTCTGCTCAGGCATTCTCCACTCACACGAAAGGGGCTTCGGACGAGTGGAGGGTGCAGGTGCTTGCCACTTGCACCACTGGAGCTGTGAGTGTGCGCCTGCCACTCACACGCCGACTTAGATCTTTTCCAGAATATTTTATTTCCAGCCTGGCCATTTAAATCTTTCATCATTGCTGTTGCTGGCCATCCTCTTCCAGTAATGGCCAGCACAGGTAATTCCTCGATTTACTACAACTTACAACTGAGCCCAACATTTTTATTGCTGAAGTGAGAAAAAATTGAGTTGAGTTTTGCCCCATTTTATGATCTTTCTTGCCGTGGTTGATAAGTGAATCAGTGCAGCTGCTAAGTTAGCAACACACTTGCTAAATGAATCTGGTTTCCTCACTGACTTTGCTTGTCAAAAGGTCATAAAAAGTGAACACATGACCCTCAACACTCTGCAACCGTCATAAATATGAGTCAGTTGCCAAGTGTCTGAATTTTGATCATGTGACCACGGGGATGCTGCAGCGGTTGTAAGTGAAAAATGGTCATGATTCACTTTTTTTCCCCAGTGCCATTGTAACTTTGAACGGTCACTAAATGAATTGTTGTAAGTCAAGGACCTACCTGTAATATCCGAGCACCATTCATTCGCAGCCTCTGATTTAAAGCATCGCCACCTGCTCTTCAGCTGAGAAGGATTCCAAGGTAGATGATAATGTGTAATAACAAATCTCAGCCTGTAAGCTTCCTATCCAAAATAACAAAAAAAAAAAGCAATTAGGAGGGTGAAAGAGAAAAAAAAAGCTTATTTTACAAGCCCTAGTTTTAAATAAGGTTTTTTTAGAGGGATGAATTTTTTTTAAAAAAAAATCTCTGCAGCTGCTGCTTTTCTGTGCAGTGGATGAAACCAGGTTGATCTTCCTGAACCGGATAGTTTAGTCTTAAGAGAGAAGATTGAGAAAAGGATAATTTCTCAAAATAATTAGGGTGGTTGTTTGTTTGGCCTTGGAGCTGCACTTTGTTTTTGTGTCCTGCCTGGAGAGAAGGCGTGTGTATCTGGTAACACAAAAGTCTTGCTGCAGTGGGCAGAGCCGAAAGCCTCTGTTCCTATTTGTGTAGTTTTTTTAAAAGGGCAAATGGGTATCTTAAGCCTTGCAGAGGCTTAAGGCACTTATTTTGCCCTTTAAACAAACAGAAACGGGGGAAAAACATCTTTGTTTTAAATTTTAGGGGGTTTTAATATTGAGCCAAAATTCATTTTCATTCATTTCATTTTCATTTTATTAAATTTGTATACCGCCCTACACCAGAAGGACTCAGGGCGGTGAACAGGCACAAAATAAAACACATAAATATAAAAGTTAAAACATGATTAGAACCCAATTAAATAATTTTTGCCCGAGACAATTTAAAACTCCCAATAATTTAAAACGAATTAAAATTTCAGTTTAAAAATTTAAAAGAAGGGGAGAAAATTAGGCCAGGCCGGCCTGCTGGAATAGGAGTGTCTTCAAAGCACGGCGGAAAGTGCGCAGATCCGGGATCCTCCGTATCTCCGGGGGGAGCTCGTTCCAGATAGTAGGTGCCCCCACAGAGAAGGCCCTCCCCCTGGGGGCCGCCAGTCGACATTGTTTGGCTGACGGCACCCGGAGGAGCCCCTCTCTATGAGAGCGTACCGGCCGGTGGGAGGCTGTTTGTGGTAGTAGCGGTCCTGTAAGTAGCCAGGTCCTAAGCCATGGAGCGCTCTAAAGGTGGTAACCAAAACCTTGAAGCGCACCTGGAAGACCACCGGGAGCCAGTGCAGCTCGCGCAGGAGAGGTGTCACACAGGAGCGCCATATTGCTCCCATAACCACCCGCGCGGCCGGTGGTTATATAATTAAATAATTTTAAATAATTTAAATTGTTGTTTGTCTTTGTGCTTTTAATAGGTTGTACACCGCCCTGAGTCCTTCGGGAGAAGGGCGGTATAGAAATAAAATAATAATAATAATAATAATAATAATAATAATAATAATAATAATAACAACAATAACAATCATCATCATCATCATCATCATTATCATCATCCTCATCATCCTCATCATCCTCATCATCTGTTTTTTCACTGGGAAAATCCATCTGCTTTTTTTCACAAGGGGTGGTTCAGGGAATACCACATACTGTAATCAGTGCCTTAAACATTCAACGCTCACCAGTTTTTGCCCTTGACTGCCTCATCCTCCAAAATATTTTTTTAAAAAAAAACACAACCCCCCCCCACTCATTCTGGGGTACCCAAAACCATATTTTAAAATGACACAATCCGGAATTCTGAAGTCTCTCACCCTGGTCACCTCTTCTTTACCCTCCTACCATCGGGAAGGAGATATAGAAGTATAGCCAGCCACACAAACAGGCGGAAGAACAGTTTTTATCCGTGGGCTGTCAGACTCCTGAATGAGAAATAACATTATAACTATGTAGTATGATGGGCTGCAGGGCCGGCGCAATGTGTAACATGTTCACACTGGTGCAATAGGACTGGGTGTTTTGTTAATATGATTTATTGGGTTAGGGATTTGCTGTCTTCACTCTGAGTTGTATTGTGTTAGGGGTGCACTGAGGGAGCTCAACCAATCTCATTGTACATATGTTGTGCACTGACAATAAAGATTTGAAATTGAAATGGAAGTCTGATATGCTGTAAATCTGTGTCTCAGCCATACCACTTCAGAAGGTATTATATGTAGTCCTTAACTATTCAAATTTACAATGACACTGAAAAAAGGGATTTATGACTGGTCATTGCACTTATGACCATCACAGCTTCCTCGTGGTTATGTAAACAAATTTTTGGCAGTTAGCAAAAGCATATATTTATGACATTTGCAGTGTCCTGGGGTCACATGATCCATTTGCAACCTTCTCAACTGGCTTCTGACAAGCAAAATGGGAGAAGTCAGATTCACTTAACGACTACATAACTCACTTAACAACTGCAGTGATTCAGTTAACAACCGTGTTAAAAAAAGGTTATAAAACCAGGTTAAAAACAATTGCCTTGCTTAGCAATGGAAATTCTAATCCCAATTGTAGTTCTAAATCAAGGACTACCTGTATTGGGCAGAGAGGAATCACAAGTCTTAAGTTTCTTTTGTTTGGAAACTGGGATTTGGGGATGTTGGTTTAATTGTTTCCTTTGATTTTATTATGGTGCTGTGAGCCTCCCAGAGTTATGATACATAAGACGGGTAATCATATAAGCATCTGGCATAAATAAATAAATGTTGAATGAAGGACAGATGAGGCATTCTTTTGGGAATGCCAGTTTTCTGGGTGGAGAAATGAGTTTTGTTATTCAGAGTCGTAGTTGGCCTTATTAAGGTTCGTACTGAAACGTAGGTGGAACAATTGAGATGGAATTTGATTGCTTGAATGTGACAATTTGGCAATGGGTAGAAAGCTTCCCAAGTAATCTGGTTCATTTACTTACAGGGATGTGGCTGTTCCGAAAAATATTGAATAGGAACATTTTTCCTATGCAAATGAATAGAATTCTGATTACCATATTCATTGCAGTATCTATAGCCTGTTCAAAGACATGGGCTATAATATATTATTTGATGCGAGGGGGAGACAGCCATGTTTCAAACTTTTTTTTTAGAACAGTCACCTAGAAAAGCAAATTTTGTGAGGGATCCTTGGCGCTCTTGCTTGTTTTCTTGCAGACGTTTTATTACCCAAACTAGATAACATCAGTGCACTGATGATGTTACCTAATTTGGGTAATGAAACATATGCAAGAAAACAAGCAAGCTCAGAGAGCACCAAAAATCCCTCATTTCAACCCTGAGCTACAAACGTTCTCCTTTATTGGGAGCAAATTCTATCCAACTTTGAAATTGCCAAACTTGCCTGAAGTGGAAAATTTTTGGAGGCAAATTTCTACTCCATAAAATTTTCCAGCCCACATCTCTGTTTTATTGAGAAGAAAATCCCATTACCTTTAATAGATGCTGTTTATGAGCAGACAACATGGTGCGCTTAATGTTTCATTGCTCACATAACTACTCTGGAAATATTCCGACTTCAGAACAGCAGCTTGGAACATACCGGTAACTGTTCTGATCAGAATAGTGCTGGAAAATTCCAGCAAGGTTGGAACAGTTAATTTCAAATTTGAATCGGCTATTTTGAATTTGAAATAGTTTAGAGTTGAAATATTTTGCATGTACCACCTTACCAGTGGTGGGATTCAAATTTTTTTATTACCAGTTCTGTGGGCGTGGCTTGGCTTGGTGGGCGTGGCAGGGGAAAGATATTGCAAAATCTCCATTCCCTCCCCACTCCAGGGGAAGGATACTGCAAAATCCCCATTTCCTCTTGATCAGCTGGGACTCAGGAGGCAGAGAGTAGATGGGGCCAGCCAGAGGTGGTATTTACTGGTTCTCCGAACTACTCAAAATTTCTGCTACCGCTTCTCCAGAACTGGTCAGAACCTGCTGAAACCCACCTCTGAGCCTCACCTTTAGGAAGATGGAGAGAAGGGAATAGTTGAAAGGGGAAAAAAAAACACAGCCTGATCATTTTGAGTTGGACAAGATGAATTTTTAACAGGAAAGTTTGATTGCAGATTTGGACAGAGGGAAACCATGTTTTCTGGCAGCATCTACCTAGGTTAGGAATGGGATTGTAAAAACAGCCTGTTTCTGTGTTCACCTCCTCACCATGTTCTTCTTTTTTCAGGGCTGGCTTTGAAGAAGACGGTTCTAACAGAGGTAAACATTTGCATTTATTGGCCTATTGTGTTTTTTGATTTTATATGCCCATGGGATGATTTTATTTTGTTTTTTAAATAAAGCAAGTGATTTCCGGTAGAGCACATTAACCAGTGTATTTAGTGAAGATGCTAAAGAATTTGAGCACCAGGTTCTCCAAGGTTCTTTAGGCAAGCGACTTCCTCCACAGGAGTGTCAATGGATGAATGAGTGAATGAATGAATAAATATGTATGTACAATAGAACCTCTGGCCACAAATGCTTCTGACCACAAGCAAATCTGGTTCTGACCAAAAAATTCACAATTTTTTTTTCCACAGCAGATTTCCCCTTCCGTGCCACTTTTTTTTGTAAGCGCCAAATTTCCAAAATTAGATTCGGGTCACGACCAAATCAGGTTGTGACCAAAGTTATGGAATGATTTATGGTCATGACCAGAGGTTCTACTGTATGTATGTATGTATGTATGTATGTATGTATGTATGTAGACTCTGTAAACCGCTTTGTGCTGTAAAGCACTATGAAGCGATATGTAAGTTTAAGTGCTATTGGTATATGATATAATACAGGTAATCCTTGACTTACGACAATTTATTTAGTCACCGTTCGAAGTTACAACATCACTTAAAAAAGTGACTTATGGCTCTTTTCCCCCACTTATGATCATAGTAGCATCCTCATGGTCATGTGATTTACATTCAGATGCTTGACAACTGACTCACATTTATGACAGTTGCAGTGGCATGGAGTCATGTGATCGCCTTTTGAGACCTTCTGACAAGCAAAGAATGGGGAAGCCAGACTCACTTAACAACTGTATTACTAATTTAACAACTGCACTTAACAAATGTTGTAAGAAAAGTCGTAAAATGGGGCAAAACTCACTTAACAAATTTTCTCATTCAACGACATAAATTTTGGGCTCACTTGTGGTTGTAAATTGAGGACTACCTGTATTATATTTCACCACCATTTTATCACCCAGCTAGTTTTCATGACTAAGTCAGGACTAGAAATCACTGTCTCATGGTGATTGGCCTAAAGTCATCTAGCTGACTTTCATGGTTAAAGCAAAACTAGAACTCACTGTCTCCTACTTTGTAGCATGATGCTACAAGACTAAGCTGGCTCTGAAATACTGTGTTTCCCTGAAAATAAGACCCTGTCTTATATTTTTTTGAACTCCGAAATAAGCGCTTGGCCTTATTTTTGGGGAGGTCTTATTATTTTGGGGCACGTGGAGCAAGATGGGGATCCTCTTGCCGTCTTATCTGATTTCCAGCTCTGCGTTTAAATATTTTCAGGGAGAGGCTTATTTTAGCACATGTGCTCAAAAGACCGACTGGGCTTATTATCAGGGGATGTCTTATTTTCAGGGAAACAGGGTAGCCCTTCCTTTCACTCCCATAACTACAAGCTCACCCCCTTGTTCCAATCTTGACCCACTTTGCTGCCCCAAAGGAGAGGGGAGGCATTTCTGCTTTGTTAAAGAGCAAGGTTTACTGACAACAACTACAAGGGAGCAAGGAGTTCAGATCACATTGTAAGTCTTTCGTAAAGACACTTGGGTGCCCATCATAACTCCTGCAGCATTTTACACTTGCCTGGATGTTCCAGCTTGAAGGACAGCTCATTTTACATGATGAAAATAATTCAACCTATCTGATCAGTACTGAGATCATGATAAGAACAGATAAAAATGATAAATAAAACCTATTTCAGCAAAATTTGATTTAGTTCACGTGATCCGCTTAGCATGCTGAACCTGGGTTCGCCCAGGGTACTAAGCAATCACAGGTATAGTTTGGGCTGAGATGATGAAGATTTTGTGCAAATCTTTTTGACTAAATTAGCAAAGCATAATTAAAACAACCATGACTTAAAAGCATGACTCATCATTCCAGTTGAGAAATTTAACACAAGACTATTGAAAGAGCCGGAAGGGGAGGAGAAGTGTATTTGTGTGGAAGTGAATTATTCACAAATGCACATTGTTAGTGCAGCAAACAGCTTCAGTTCAGCCCACGAGTGGCTTTTTTGCTATACACCTTCCATCTGGAATGCCTTGTTTTGCATACTTACCCTGTGATGTCACCTCTGTGTATTTTAACATTATTTGTAACCTTGACATCAGACCCAAAAGGTTGTGGGACTAACTACCCTTCTTTCATTATCCAGCTTTCATGAGCAAAGGAAAATAGAGGCCAGGATCTGATCCAGCCTTACAGAATAGTTTTCTCCTGGAATTGAGACTCCCTCCCTCCCTCTTAACATTCCAAAAATTGTTTAGGATGGAAAACTTCATTTTAATTATGTTATTGTGTTCCATCTTTGCCTTGTGTTTTAGTTTTCCCATTGTTATTATTGGCTAACCATCCAACAAACATCACTGCCTTTAGACCACGTATTTTTTGCAATAATGTCATTGTAAGCAAGTACCTAGGAACAACAACAATAATAATTTCTGTTATTTCAGTTTTAATAACGCTCACCCTGTTTTACTTGGCTGCATGGTTTAATTAGGTTGCTGTGGGTTGACTTGGCTTATTTGGTGATACAGATAGTCCTCGACTTTACAACAGTTCATTTAGCGACAGTTCAATGGTCACTGAAAAAAGTGACTTATGACCATTTTTCACACTTGTAACCATAGCAGCATCCCCATAGTCACGTGATCAAAATTCAGACAATTGGCAACTGACTCACATTTATGACGTCTGCCGTGCCCTGGGATCACCCTTTGTGACTTTCTGACAAGCAAAGTCAATGGGCAAACCGGATTCACTTAACAACTGAAGTGGTGGCGCAGTGGTTAGAATGCAGTATTGCAGGCTAATTCTGCCGACTGCTAGCAGTTCAATCCTGACCGGTTCAAGGTTGACTCAGCCTTCCATCTTTCCAAGGTTGGTAAAATGAAGACCCCAGATTGTTGGGGGCAAGAAGCTGGCTCTGTAAACCGCTTAGGGCTGTAAAGCACTGTGAAGTGGTGTATACAGTAGTGGCCAAAATTGTGGAAACCTTTTGTGAAAAGTGTATTTTCTAAAACTAGCTAATAACACTACTTTTTTTTGGAGTAGTACCATAAAATTATATATCAATGGAAAGATAATTTAATCAAGAATGTAATGCAATAACTTTTATGAAGGATTTGCTATTAGAATAACAGTTATAGTATAAAGAAGAAAAGTAAAATACGTAGAAAAAATGAGATATACAAAAATAATCACCATAGAAAAAATGAGAGATATAAAAATTATCACCATGTCAATTAATAGTTAGGTAACCTTTAGTATGAATTACGGAACCAAGTCTTTTAGTTCTGGAGCTGTTATAATGTGAAACCAAGATTGAATGATTGCTTCTATTAACTGGGTTTTATTGCTGGATCACTTCTGACTAACAACTTTCTTTCTTTCTTTCTTTCTTTCTTTCTTTCTTTCTTTCTTTCTTCTTTCTTTCTTTCTTTCTTTCTTTCTTTTTCTTTCTTTCTTTCTTTCTTTTTCTTTTTCTTTCTTTCTTTCTTTTTCGTATTTCTATGCCGTCCAACTCTCCGAGGACTCTGGGCGGCTTACAACAAAGACAGTATAAACAATATACAATAAAAGACGTTAAAAAAACCCATACACACTGCTCATGGCTGGATCTCGCAAGATCGCAGTGGCGAGATCAACGGCCCCAAGCCTGCCGGAAAAGCCAGGTTTTCACCATTTTCCAGAAGGCCAGTAGGGTGGGAGCGGTCCGGGCCTCAGGAGGTAGATGATTCCAGAAAGCCGGGGCAGCCACAGAGAAGGCCCTCCCCCGCGGACCCGCCAGCCGACATTGTTTAGCTGACGGGACCCAGAGGAGGCCAACTCTGTGGGATCTTACCAGTCGTTGGGAGCTATGCGGTAGAAGACGATCTCGAAGATAGCCTGGCCCTAAACCATATAGGGTTTTAAAGGAAATAACCAACACCTTGAATTGGGACCGGAGACCGATAGGAAGCCAGTGCAGCTCACAGAGGATTGCAATGTGGGAGTACCTAGGTGCACCCACAACCGCTCGAGCAGCTGCATTCTGGACCAACTGTAGTCTCCGAACATTTTTCAGGGGTAGTCCCATGTAGAGCGCGTTGCAGTAATCCAACCGTGAGGTGACAAGGGCATGAGTGACCGTGAGAAGAGCCTCCCAATCCAGGTAGGGTCACAATTGGTGTACAAGGTGAACCTTTACAAAGGTCCCCTTAGCCACAGCTGCCAGGTGTTGCTGTAATCTCAGCTGTGGGTCAAGGAGGACACCCAAATTGCGAGCCCGTTCTGAGGGGTCGACTTCTGTCCTCCCCAGGGCTAAGGATGGACAATCGACATGGTCCTTGGGAGGCAATACCCACAGCCACTCGGTCTTGTCTGGGTTAAGTCTGAGCCTGTTGACTCCCATCCAGATTCTCACAGCCTCCAGGCACTGGCACATCACATCCACTGCTTCACTAAAATGATGCGGGGTGGAGATATACAGCTGGGTATCATCGGCATACTGCTGATATCCCACCCCATATCGTCGGATGATCTCCCCCAGCGGTTTCATATAGATGTTGAATAGAAGGGGAGAGAGGACCGAGCCCTGAGGCACCCCACAAATGAGGGGCCGAGGGGTCGACTTCTGTCCTCCTATTAACACCGACTGTGACCGACCAGAGAGATAAGAGGAGAACCACCGTAACACGGTGCCTCCCACTCCCAACTCCCTTAGTCGGCCTAGTAGGATACCACAGTCGATGGTGTCAAAAGCTGCTGAGAGGTCAAGTAGCACCACGATAGAGGAATGACCCCCATCACGGGCTCGCCAGAGATCGTCCATCAGAGCGACCAAAGCAGTTTGCGTGCTGTAGCCAGGTCTGAAGCCAGATTGAAAAAGGTCCAGATAATCCATTTCATCCAATGTCCGTAGGAGCTGAAGTGCCACCATTTTCTCTACAACTTTTCCCACAAAGGCTAGGTTGGAGACTGGACGAAAGTTCTTTA